GGATCAATGTATAAAAAAAAATGCATATTACACTTTTTTCAATATTATACATTCATTCGGCTGAAAATTGAAAAAAAAAATTTACACAGAAATGTCAGAATCGGAGGTGCCGAAACACCCGTCGGTTCTAGAGTCTAGAGCCGGGCGTACGGCGCGGCGCTGTCGCGCGTGCGCGCGCGCATGCGCAGTCGCGGCAAGTGAGCCGCGGAGGCAGCAGCCGCCGCTGGTCGCGCTCGGGCGTCCCGGCCACGCTTCTCTTGTCTCGACGTCCTCGCGGAACGCCCTTCGTCGCCGCGGCTCTCTCCGGTGAGGAACTTCCGAAGCGTCCGGACCCCGCTTGACGGTCCGCGATCCCCCGTCTCCAGGTCCCGTCCACCAGCTCCGCGACGGGAGCGGAACTCCGCTCGCGACGGCGACGTGCGACGCGACACGCCTTCGTGCTCGCCGACACCCTAACCCCCTCGGAACCTTCCGCTGGGTTCCTTCCGTCTCTCGAAACGTGCCTCGAGATCTTGTCGCCATTTTTTTCGCGAGGCGAGTGTCACGAGACGCCCGACGCCCGACGCCGTTTTCTACAAATGGCAAATGCGAGTTACGTCGCGGCCACATCGTTCGGTCCGTCGTGTCGTGGCGTTCGAATTTCTTCCCACGGAATCGCGGATCTACGCGATTCTACGCGTCATATCGCGCGTGAGAGAGAGAGAGAGAGAGAGAGGAGCACTCGTGCAGTGACGTCAACGGTTTCGGAATTCCGAGCGTAAAAAACACTCGGCGATTATCCGCCGTCCTCTCCGGTTGACTCCTTCTCTTTCTTTCTCCCAGAGATAGGATTTTTAGAGTAGAGGATTTTTACGTCGCGGGTCGAAACGCGCGACGCGAGCTTTGCGTCGTGGACGCGCCGAGGAGACGATTATTTTTTTTTTTTTTTGTGCGGTGCAAACAAAGGGCTGCGACGTATCAAAAAATGTCGCAAGAGCCGCGACACCTGCGGACCTTCGGTGTGTTTTGCGTCGATAACATCCTCCCACTTCCATCTATAGATTTATATCGCGACGGAAATGCGCGGACCGAGATATCCGCGCGCATCTATTTCTGTGGATTGTATTATCATTCAGCGATTCTCGCATCATCGCTCGCAATAAAAAGGATCTTCGTACGAGTGACGCGCTCGCTCGCGCTCGCGCGCGCGCGCGCACGACTCCGAAGCTCCGAGTCCGAGAAAAGTGGCCGAGCCGTTGTCGAGCCACGCTCGCTCTTTCGACTCTTTCGAGCTACGAACGTGGAGATATAACTGGACCGGCCCCGCGGGGCCGTACGCGCTACGTGGAGAAAAACCGTGCAGGGGGGATTGAATTGCTCGTGGGACACGCCATTTTGTTCGTACGGGAAAACGCGCAAGATTTAATAAATCGAGAGTAACAAAACAATCCGCGCGACTGTCCGTAGGATAGTTCCTAAACGGTGGGGAGAGCTTCTCTCCGTTGCTTTTGCGAAATCGTTCAAAGGGGGAGAAACGTTGGGGGAAGGAGCGTCTTATCTGTTTCGTGAAAAAGAGCTTGGCGCCAATCGCTGATTTAGCTCGCCTTCGCGAACAATAACTCGGTCGTATTCTCGTCCGTATTCTCGTCCGCGCATTGTGCCGCGCCTGTAGGCGCAAAGTCGCACGGCGATCGTTGGTGGATTGAGAGGAGGCAATGATGAACCTGTGTCTCGATGACCCTTTGCAGATCTACGATGGAAATTTATGACAATAAATCTATTGTAATATATCTGTTTTAAGTTTGTTATAATAATGAACCTTATGGAATGCTTGGGAGCATCGATCTTCATGCTCCGCCGATTTTTGGAAAGTTCAACCTCTCGCGATCGAAGTTTCTCGGAGTGGAAATTTTTGGAGTCGCGAAAATTCGTGGATATTCAGTCTAATATCATCATTATTAATAGGATTGATTATAGGTTCTCGTTACGGGTCGCTTATCTTATCGTTAATCCTAGTACGATATTGTTATATCATCGCGCGATTTAATGACCACGTTGCTCGCAGACGTTCTCTTGACCGTTACCTTGAATAGAGTGTGAATGTAAAGAAAAAAAATGGCTAGATCGACTCTACCTAGCCTCTTGGTAAGTTATACAGTTGCGGAACAACTCTTTCCCGCACGATAGTCAGGGGAACTTGATACGCCACACTGTATATAGATGAAGAAGAAGGCCGTATCTTTAGGCGAAGCGGGAAAGACATATAATCAGATGGAACCCGATTAACTGCGCCACGTGGTCTGTGCGTTGTGGTTTCCCAGACGAAGCGTTTGCGTCTTTTCGAGCAGCCTGCGACTCGTGCAAGCGAAATACAAGCTGGGTCACGTGGGAGCACGCTTTACACCTGAGACACCTGGAAACGTGGTTGTCGAAAATTATAACCAATTAAAATAATCAAATTGTTTTTTTTTTTTTACGGTTCTAAGCGCTTGGCCTTTACCGCAATATTAACCCCAGGTAGAACACGAAAGTCGCGACGAAGTCGAAATGACGGCAAAGTGACCTAAAAGTTGTCGTTTTGACGTTATTTCGACTTGCCGTTTCTACCTGGGAAATTGCGCGTTGCGTGTGTTAACGACATGTGTTCCATCTTTTGTTTGCTACGCCCTGCGCGCGAGTCGCGGTCCAATTATTTTTTCTATCCATGCTGCGCGAACCGCAATAATATGCACGCGAACAAGAGAGGAATAATCGCATGTTAGGCTCGCGTACGAGATAGAAAGAGAGAGAAGAGGATGTGCTAGCCGTACTTGAAAATATAGAAAGCAAAAACCTTGCGAAGTAACAGACAGTTATTTAGAAACAGAAAACGCATCTCATTTGTCGGACGCACAGAAGGCTATAGACTTACTCCGATATCATTTTGTAAATTAAACAGAAATATAGTTTTCTTCGCGATATGCGTCCACACACACACACACAATTCTCTTGTTTTTACTCCGAATTGTATTGATTCTGAAATATTCACACATTACTGTAGAAAGATGTTATTGATTTTTAATTTCGTTGATGCTGCGTAGATTTTTCGTGCCATTATTTATTCCATTTTATATTATTCAGTGATATCTTTCGTATTGATTTTTTTTAGCTGTTGGCAACTACTTAATTAGCTCTGACAACTCGTTCCCATTTTATCTTGGGGAGCGTTACTGCCCTTCTCGCTTGCACTTAAATATATATAACTCAACAAATGAACCGAGCACCCTAAAATCGCTCGGCGAATCTTCTTTTACTTCTCGCCCCGTCGCAGCGCGTGTATTTTCGCCGTTCGTTACTTTCCCGTATTGCGTAATACGGGATTGCATGCGAGGGGAACATAAAACACGACAAGTTTCGAAGGACGATGTTTCGTGAGTCGGGCTGCAATGTCCATCGACAGTGCGTTTAATTTTATGTTTATTGGGTAACCATGCGATATTGTAAACCGCGGTTCATAGTTCACTGGCTGCATGTATGCGACATCGGTGCACTCAAATCGGTGGCCAAGTATCGTCGATAACTTTATGAACTATAAAGCAAATGTGCTATAAGTATACCTATAGTTCAAATGGTGTTCTTAAATGCTTACAGATATAATATATTCAGTAGATATATATATGTAAGGTTATAAGTAGAGAGTCTTTAGTCTTTTCGAGCTCAGTTGGACGTTGTCCGATATATTTAAATCACATTATTTAAATAATTTCAATTCAACAGATGCTCTACACTCACGTTTGATATATATTATAAAGTGCATAAAGCTTAGTGGAAAGACATGCGACACACACACACATACGCACACGCAGGCATATTATCTTAATACTATGTTGACACTCTTATACTGTTGTTCTTCGTTGTACAAGACTCAATGTCGAGAAATGCTACTTACTAAGTTTCTGAGTTATAAGGAATGCAAATGTGATGCAAATATACTAGCGATATTCTTATACTAGCGTTTCGAATAAATACTTAGAGAATACATGCTTCGTCATAGGTCATGTTATAATTAGATATATTGACAATGTATATCTTAATTATTAATTTATGTTTCATCGTAGGTATTTTTTGCAATTTTATACAAAACTATTAATCTAAACTTATTTATCACGTACTGCGAGGAAACATAAATAGTAAATTCAACAGTAAATTAATCCATTCTTGATACAAATATTGCCTTACATAAATGCTTTTATAAAATTTAAAATAACATCGATATGAAACGAAATGAATAAAAAATAAAATATACCAATGTTTTTTCAATAGAAAACAGAATAACATTCAACGATAAACATCTAGTCGCAATCAAATATTATTCGCAGCATTTATATTTATATATATTTAACGTCGAAACGTTACTATATCTCTTAATTTAAATTATAGAAAGTGCATTGAAATGAATTATCAAAATAATTATGGTTTTTCTCTGCAGAATCGTCGCCTCTGTTCATTTGTATTTTATCGTACTTTTTTCTTCGTATCGGTGCCTTCTTTTACATAAATATCATCCAATTCATTGACTTGATGCGAACAGTGAGGAAAACCCTGTCCTATCAGGGTTGACTTTCTTTGGTGTTTTAGGAAGTAACGAAGTCCCTTTGCGATGCCGAAACCAATCATAGCTATCGATATCGTTAACAACGCCATCAAGAGAGGATGCTGCAGCAGAATATGAAAGAATTATATCGCGCATATACGACAACGACGGTGAAAGCAATCTAATTACAATTATTACCATTTTGACAAATAATTTAAAAATAGAAAGAACGAATCAATACCGTTAGGGTGGGCTTGTTTGTAAAAACATAGTCGGCGATCACGACTGTGACTCCTAATATAATACCAACGCCAGCTCCTAGCCATGGGATCTGTTGGTCAGCTGTGAAACATTATTTCATTATGTTTCAGTTTTCATAGTTTTCAAGATAACTCTGTGCCAAGTACCTCTTCTGTCTTTAATCAACGACCTGGACGCCTTGTTCATCGCCTCTATAATCTTAGGCTCGTTTGGCTGCAAGACTAGAGCTTTGTTGTAAGATTCAAGCGCTTCGTTGTAAGATGATAGTTTCAGTTCGACCTCGCCCTTCCTAAAGTAACCCTGAAACAGATAAAGAGACATATATTTATTCTTTGCTTTAAAATCATAGCCTAAAGGAACCAATTTTACTGGATTAGTCCCATTTGGAATCATCTATACAAAAGTGTCGTTTTACGTACTTTGGACCAGTCGGGCTTCAGTTGAATGGTCATCAGAGCATCGTTCAGGGCGTCACGATACCGTTCCATCATCAAGAAGGTGAAGGATCTGTTGCTGTAGAGAGAATAATTCTTTGGATCTAGTTTGATGGCATGCGAGTAATGAAGCATCGCCTTCTGATATTTTTTCTCCCTAACATACGCGTTTCCTTGCTGCTTAAGGTTCTCCACCTGAATAAAGAAAAATGCCTTTATTTTGCGCATCATACATATCATACATATATAATACCATGTTTGCGTTTGGAGGTTAATGAGAGAAGAACCGGCCAAAAAAAAACCGGGCCAACACCGGCGTCTCTTGCCATGCGAATAATTGAAAGGCCCATCGTAGAGACGTACTATTTCTCTCGGAACCGTTATCTGGTTTGTACAACGTTGATAAGCACGACACTGCAAAAAGCTTTGATAAGGCTCACCTCTGCCTCCGGCGCATTCATACTTTCATTCACGGTATTCCTGGTTTTCCAGCAAGTAGGAGGAGCCTGAGGCTTTATCACTCTCGCGATAAAGTCAAGTCAAATCGATCGATTGAAGGACCCGTCCTCGGGGTGTTGTTCTTGATCGAATTGTAACTTCGTCGAGGAGCAGACGAGCACCTGTCATGTCCACCGACACCCCGGACGGGTGCATGCGCGGAGCGGCGGACGTAAAACAAGCAACAAATGTGTGCGTGAATCTCACGCGAATTGCGCATGTATTCCTGCGTCATAATGAAAACTCTCGTATAACGAAAGCATACCGGACTTTTACTCACGGCAATATCGACGATGTTTTAATCGCAACTGTAAACAGCGATGCTCCGAATCTTAAGAGCGATTTCGCCCAAACTCCGACTAGCTTTTTAATTCCGAAGGATTAATCTCCGACGATTAATTCAACCGCGGCAGAATTGCTTAAAGTGAAATTACGCAATTCATCGTTCCCTAATCTAATCTTTCTTTCGGTCTGTTCAACAGGAAATTAATAATTCCATGTTAACAAAATACTTGATAAGTTAATCGGAGTTTAGTCGAAGTCACCTTGATTAATTTAATCGCCGATTAATTCAACCGGCAGAATTGACTAAAGCAAAATTATATATAATTCGTTGTATGTAATCGAATCTGTCTGTGCGTTAAATTACAGGAATATAATTAATAACTCTATAATGTTAACAAAATAAGGCAAATATTACTCGATAAGTTAATCGCCGATTAAGTCAATCGAAATTATCCGTAACCCATGTCCTTATTACGCTCTTTATTTACGCGCAAATTGTATCTCTGATCGTGCTGTTACGTATATCTTTTTTTTTTAATGTAAACGCGAACATATTCTAGATTTCCATTTTCATGTCTACGTGACGGTTTCGACCGAACTCCGATTAAACTTATCGAGCAAATATCTGCACGTTTTGCTAACATGGATAGAATTATTTTGTTTTGACACGCGCGGAAAGAACGATTAGATTAAGGACTATGAATAAGACCAGTTTGAAGTTTAACGAGTAAATTCTGCCGATAGCATTAGTCGTCGATCAAGTTGATCGAAGTTGGGTCGAAGTAATTTTACCACTTTTATTGGAACAGTGGAAAGTTTTATCAAAATAGCGGGAACGAAATGGAAAGAGGAGAACATTCAGGCCGGAGGCGGGGAAAGCAGAGGCGACTCTTTCGTTCATGATTTTAATGTTCGAAATTCTTCATTTCATACAAATTAAGTGTGGGGAGAGTTATAATACAAACTTAAGATATATACATCAATATTTCGTGAAAACTGCTCACAATAGCTATGCAACTTATGTCCGTTAAATCCCGCCAGATCATTCGTATCCTTTAACCGTCTTATTACCATCTTTTTTTTTGTATGATTTTTTTTACTGCCGTCTAAATTTACCTCGCGTACGCTATATGCAACAAAACTTGGCAAGTCGTTCGAATAAATATAGTTATTATTTCTTTTTCTTATTAATTTTCCGCGATCTTTGCGTTTTTCGGAGTGTTCCCTTTCGGAATCGGAGAATCGGCATTCGCGACCCGCCTCTCGCGTTTCTCACGATCACGCCTCGCTTTCTCAGGAAGTCACAAATCCGCGGAGAGAGGAACATCTCTCTCGGATCTCTTCGCCACGAGATACGCCACGTTCGCACCGCGGACGAGCTTTGTCGCGAGCGAGTCGACGCGCCAGGGTGTTCCTTCGATGCCTAAAATCGTTCGCTTGTTACAGGGTGTCCTGGAACTGTCCTTCGAATTTTACGCGACAGACGACGAGAATCCGGGACGTCTTTTTGGCGGAAGCTCAACGCGTCGCTGTTCCCGAACGACGATATTAATATTAATAACGAAAAAAATTTGTTTGTCGAACGGCCAATATAGTTTTTCAAGTCCAATATATTTTCTCCAGCATTCTCTTTCGTCTCGGACACCCTGTATATCGCGTACTTCGCCGACGCGACTCCCGCGAGAAATGGACAGAGAAAGATTGTTGTTGGGACTTACTCGCGGAGAGCGCGGACGACGAGGCCCTCGCGCTTCTTCTCGCGAGAGGAATTATGTCGCTAATTGTTCGAGAACATCAGAAAATTTTATCCTCCCGCGAGAGAAGAAGGCGCGAGAGCCTCGGCCGCGGATTCGCGTCGCGCGTACGCGGCGGGACGGAAATCGGACCGGATGCGGCCTCGGCGTCGTTCTCGACTCGCTCGCGGGTGAGCTCGCTGAGCGCTCCCCGATCGTACAACCGCGTGGTCGGTACTCACAATTAGCGGGAATTCGACTCGAGTCGATTGACTCGTTAATACAAAATCGAATTAATTCGCCGCGCGCGTACGAGTCGATCGAGGCTCGCCGGCGGAGGCCACGTTTCCCCCGTGGCGAATCTCGCCCCGTTTTAACAGACCCGCCTTCGATCTACGTTACAAACAATGGTTTCCCCCGCGCGGATAACAAAAAGGCGACGCACACACGCACACAACAACAACAACGCGTAGAAGCCACACTCGGGCCACTTTGTTCTCTCTCACTCTCGCGCGACACCCAATCGAATTCAACGCAAACTGGAAGATTAACAACGACGAAGGTTTAGATCGTTAAAAAAGGAAATTATGTACAAATTAAATTAGCGTAACAAAAAAAAAAGAGAAAAACAGAGAGAAACGCCGGAGACGGGAAAACTCGCCGATTCTCCGCGCTCGAGAGCCGCGGTCCCAACATATGTACACGTCTTCTCCTCGCGCGCGAGACCACGTGTTATCTGGTACATTCGCCGCGTATAAATCGCCGCAAACCCACAGGCAGACAGACAGACGGATCCATCTGCTGACACGCACGCATCACGAAGACACATCGCTTCTTTACGCACTCAACGCATCGCAGTTCGTCGATTTCATCAACGCGAATTATCGTCGTATTATCGTGTCGACTCGCTTTTTTTCTCTTCCTCCCTCACCCACCCTTTGTCTTGCCTTTCCGTCTTGTCACTGTTATCGTCACTCATTCTTCATTTTTTTTTGTCGCGTGGCTTTTTTCCCCGCGCTTTTTTCTCAATGCACGATTCTCGAATAAACAGAAGCACGAGCACGGCCCGGGTTCGGGGACAATTTAAGGGGGGCCCGCGTGGAACGCGACGAAGGTATACGTTATTCCGGCAAAACCGCGAAATGGATCGTGTCGATGCGCGAGGGAGGGCACCGAAAAGTTTAAACGATGCGCGAGATTGGCCCCGAAACTGGCCAGAGAGCTCGTAAGTTCGCAGTGCACCTAGGCGGATATATTTGGGGGGAGTTTATGGCAGAGATATCGAGGTGTTGAGTTCGGATTCAAAGGTGGATTTTGAGGTCGAGAAAATGGAGCACGGGAGAACCAGGCACCTCTCACGTGGCGACAAAAACGACGGAATAAATATATATGCCGAGATCCCCCTTCCCCATCAATTTAAACATTTTACTTTCCACCGACATCGACGTTGACGTCTTTTTTCCGAATTGCTTTCGTTTGAGATAAGACAGTAAAAAATTGACGATGCGAGAAAGATAACGTGTAGGATGATTTGAGGAAAAATCGATATCAGCCACGGGTTTTCACGATACGCTAAAAATAAGGTAGAAACTATCAAAATCCCACTCGAGTAGAACTCGTAGCTGCACGGTTTTTGTTGCACATGCAAAGAGAGAGAGAGAGAGAGAGAGAGAGAGAGAGAGAGAGAGAGAGAGAGAGAGAGAGAGAGAGAGAGAGAGAGAGAGCTACTTTTAGGACGGAAACGAAAGGAATACATCTGGGAAGTAAGGCTGGATTTCGATCTGAACTCCTAGGATCGTTACAATCGAACGTGAAGAAGACATCCTGAACAGTCCTTAGGAAAGTCGCGCCCGGAAGTCGTTTCGCGAGCGCGGCGATTGCACAAAAATCGAAGACACGATCGAGAAGGCCGACGACGGTGATAAACGTCGCGGAAGGGAAGGCGCGAGGAAGAGGGAGACGGAGAAAATAGACGCGACTGGATGTGAACTCTCCGATTTACCCTCCATAAATTACATCTAATGTATAATTAAAAGGGCTAATTAAATAATTAAATTGCCGTTGCGCGGAATGGAGTATACGGGATGGCCACAGCCTAAGTCTTAGTTTAAAACCTAATCTCGCCCGGGGGGTCGTAACGTGGTATATATATACGACGCGGAATACGACGGATAACGCGAGCAAATTTTCGTCGACGAGAGCTCCAAGTGTCATCGGAGAGTCAACGAGGAAAATCTGCGGTTCCCCGATCCGCGCGATTTTCCCGGGGGGACACACGGACGGGGGTACGGCGCGTTCCACGCGGGCGGGAACCCCGAAAGCGGGTCTGCAAATCTTTTTCCTTGCTAACAATAAAGTTCCTCTTTATTCGCATTTTCGCTTTGTATACTTTAATTAGTGAATATAATATATATATATAATATTTATATATATGTATAGGTAATAATTGCAAATACAACTATGTAATGAATATACGAGCCTTTGTCAGGGGGAGCAATGCAGTCGTCGTCAATAAAAGTCACGGGGTGTACATTGTATATATACCTATACATGCAAATATCGAGTCGCCCGGTCGTCATCGTAATAATCATCATCATCTCTATCGCTCTGTTTCTTTCTCTCTCACACTCTCGCATTCTCATATTTATATGCACGTATACGTACGTGTACATATATATATACATACACACGTATATAAGTCCACTATTTTTTTTTTGCTCTCATCGTTCAATCCGCTTTTGCACTCGCGTGTGATCGGTACTGAAAACATAAGACTATCTTCTCGCGGTCCTTAAGTCACAATTGTCAGTCATCCGGAACGCAACTTAAGTTTCCTTCCGTTTCTAATATATTTTTTTTTAAGCACTTACAAAATATCCCTTCGCTCCTCGACTCGGCACGCGGCGATCGATCTCGTCTTCTTCCATCATTCGGCGGCGATCGATGACGCGGAAGAGCGCGGCTCGCTTCCGCCGATCTTCCACGTCGAGATCGCATCGCGTTCACCGAATTGGCTCTTTTCTTGGAAAGAACCATTTTCTTTTTTTCCGACGAATACGTCTTCTTAATTCTTTTCAAGACTAAAAATCAGTCTAAAAAATTTTGACGATTAAGTCAGGAAGAATTTTTATATTCAGTCGGAGGACACAAGTTTACCTCGGGCGAGTATATGGGCTTTGAAAGCTCAACGAGATCGATCTCTAGCGCGTGCCGTGGACT